GGTCTGGACCTAAGCCATCCCGGAGACATTAACAGCTTTCATATCCTCTGAAAACTTTCAGACAAGAAGATGCCATAATTTCCTCTATGCTTGGCAGTGCTACCACAGGAATGTTCTTTATTGCACCCTGTGGTTGAGGCTTAACAACAAATGCCTTTTCTTCAGAATCCTTTTTGGTCAGTTGTCCTTTTTGCTTAGCACTGAAAAAAAACAAGATCTGCCCTAAAATGTTGAGAGAGAGAGAGAGAGAGAGAGAGAGAGAGAGAGAGAGAGAGAGAGAGAGAGAACAAAAGACAAGGTAAGAGAGTGAGTGAGCAGAAGTCTGAAATACATTTATACCTAAGAAAGCATAAGGTCCACCTGAAGGGGCCATACTTACCCCTAATCTGTAGCTACTCTCTGCAAGAACCCTTCCCCTTCTCCAGAGGGTGAAAGGACATGGGAAAAAGCTAAAAGAAAGGTGGTGGAGCCTTGGCAATAACCTCTTTTCCCTCTAGTTTTTAATATTTATTTTTTACAAATAAAAATTGTGTATATTTTAAGGTATACAGTGATATTTTGATATATGTAGAAACTATGAAATGATTACCAGGATCAAACTAATTAACATATCGATCACCTCCCATAGTTATTTGTGTGTGTGGTGAGAACAATTGAGACCTATTCTCTTAGCAAATTTCAAGTATGTAAACACACTATTAACTACAGTCATCATGATGTACATTGGGCTTCCAGGACTTATTCATCTTATAACTGAGAGTTATTGCCCCTTTTGCCTCTCCTCCCCCCACCCCCAATCCTGTGGTACCCAACCAATGCACTCTCTCTGTTTAGATGAGTTTACTTTTTTTTAGATGCTACATACATGATCTCACATTGCTACAAGAGATGATACAATATTTGTCTCTCTATGGTCTGGCTTTTTTTTTTTTTCACTTAGCACAGTGGTTGGCAAACTGTGGCTCTGTTGACTAATGAGTTTGCCGACCACTGTCCTATACTACCCTTTATCTCTTTGCACACAATATGCCACAACTGCCTAATCCTCACAGCTTCCAACTACATGGTAACATTTAATCTACCAGTGATCGGCAAACTCATTAGTCAACAGAGTGACAAACCACGGCTCATGAGCTGCATGCGGCTCTCGAGCCACAGTTTGCTGACCACTGAGTTAGCATAATGTCCTCCAGGTTTACACATGCTGCTGCAAATAGTAGGATTTCTTCCTTTTTTTTAATGAATGAATAATATTCCATTGTATGTATGTATGTATGTATATATATGTCAGTGTGTATATATATGTATGTATGTATGTGACATTTTCTCTATCCAGTCAAAGTCAATAAACATTTAGGTTGTTTCCAAATCTTGGCTATTGTGAATAATGCTACAATGAACACAGGAGTACAGATATCTCTTCAAAATAGTGATTTTATTTCTTTGGATTTATACCCAGAACTGGGCTTGCTGGGTCACATGGTAGTTCTATTTTTAATTTTTTTTAAGAACCTCCATACTGTTTTCCACAGTGGCTGTATTAATTTAGATTCCCACCAACAGTGCACAAGGGTTCCCTTTTCTCCACATCCTCGTCAGCACTTGTTATCTTTTGATTCTTTGATATTAGACCTTGGCAAAAACCTCTTAACAGCTGCTCTTCCCCTAGTATTTTGGAAGAGAGCCAAGCAGCCTCATATGAATAGGGTGGAATGGCAAACCCATTGTGGGCTCCAGTCTTCTAAGGAAGCACACCCCATTCCTGCCCTCTCCACTTGACACACTGTAAGAATGAGCTTCATGATTGTGATGCACTTCCAACATGGTCGGCATCCAGCCCAAAACGGTTTTAGTGACTATAGCTAAGGAGGTGCTTGTTGAGCCAACGTTAATACTAATGAGCAGTGGGATAATGGCCTTGCAATGCTTGGCACAGCAACCACTTTCTCTTCATCTCTTAGCATAAAATATACTTACTAATTATAAATTAAATTATCTGTTTCATTATTTAACGAAAGTACTAAGTACAATGTCTCCTCTTCCACTGCTGGCTGCCACACATTCCTGGGTGTTTTTCAGTGGGGAGCCAACACTCAACTCATATAACTTCTAGGGACTATCTGCCACTCCATTTTAGGGGGAAGAAAGCAAGATAGTTCAATTACTTCTGGGCTTCTGGAAGGAGGTCTCTATTTTTGTCTCTCCCCCTTCCAGTTAAGAGGCTACACCAGCCTTGTGGCTCTGATTTGCTGGTAATTTGCCCATCAATACTCAGGATTTGGGGATAGAAATGTACGATTGGACAGCAGCTGGAAGCAGAGCTGGGTTTGGCCTAAACTGACTGAGCAGGAGTGGTGGTCGTCTGTATCTGGAAGTTTCTTAGTCCAAGGAGGAGCTCTCAGACTTAGTCCTCCTGGCCCCTGGGAAACACAATGATTGTCGGGCCAGGGAGTGTAGAGGTGGGCCGTGTGTGAACATGGCTGGGACAGGGCCAGACTCGGATTTGAATTCATTGAGAGAATGATGAGGTTCAAAGATTTCCAAGGGGCTAATCAAATGCTTTTCCTTACACCATATGAACCAAATGCCAGTTAGTTCCAGGCAGCTACTTTCCAAGGTTGTGTTTGGGATTTTTTGCTGTTCACCACTTAATTCAAATTCTATGAAGTCATTCACTGAGCTAGGAGGTACAGTGACCACAGAGCCTGCAAGGACATTTCAGTGTGTACACAGCAAGGAGAAGAAAACAAAGCCCACCGCTGGGGGCCACAAGGGGTGCTCTGAGCAGGGGGACAGGGCTCCTGGAAGGAGGCTTCAGAAACAATGACAGGCATCAGGAAAATGCCGAGCTGGGTTATGGACAATAGGAATTCGTGTTTCACAGGAAGAAATAAGTATCTAGTTATGTCTGAAGGTTTCAGGTACTTGAGCAACCAGAATGCTTTCATAGTTTGGAAATGCAGACAATATAGGGACATGGCTAGGAAAAAGGAAAATCAACACATCGCATATTCCCCCTTAACTGGAACACAATCAATAATGAAGGTCAAATAGCAGGTTTTTGTGTGATGACTACACTGGTGCCTCTTACTTTAAAGAGTGCCCCATGCCAAGGAAATAAGATACTGCCAGGGCTTTGATCTAAAAAGAAACTTTCAGGTTATGGCTGTGTGCATTCATATCTCGGTTTCCTTTAAACTTCACTGACTTGGCATCGTATTATGATAAATAATTCAAAGACATCAGAATTTTAGGGGCTTTTACAGATAAGAACTGGGGCTCACAGAGGTTTAGTGCCTAGATCAGACTCCCAGAGGTAACCAGGCAGGCAGGGCTTCCGGCACAAGGTCTAGGGAGTCTCAAAATGGCCAGCAGACAGTGAAGAGAGGCTGATTACATAAAACATGATTTTCATTTATGTATATATCAATTGATTTCAGAGAGGAAGGGAGAGGGAGATAGAGATAGAAACATCAATGATGAGAGAGAATCATAGATTGGCTGCTGCCTGCATGCCCTCCACACTGGGGATCAAGCCAGCAACCAGGCATAGGCCCTGACCAGGAATTGAACTGTGACCTCCCGGTTCATAGGCTGACACTCAACCACCAGCTGGGCCATCTGCAAATGCATTTTCATCACCTTCAACTGATTTGTCCTTTGGCTTCTAGTATTGGGACCATTCTAGTTACCTATTTGTAAGTGCTGTGAGGAGGAGTAAGGAGACTTCTTGTGAAGTCTCACTTTATCAGATGGCCACTCTCCCGTTCAGCAGGAGTCATGGCAGATGTTGCTTAACAGGGGACTGGGTTTGCTGATCTTCTCTGACCCTCTCCGACCCCCATGTCTTACTTGTCTGGCTATTTGTTTTTTTTTATGTTGAATTTAGATGACTTTCTTGCCCCACGACTTCCTATTGTCTTATACATAGCCTCTTTACTCATTTGTATGATCTGCCAGGCCTCTGGAGGCACTGGGGTCTGTGACCCTGGGTCTTAATGCTGGCGGTCCTCATCAGAACTCCACATCATGGTGGTGGAGTTTTGGTTTCTCCTGGGTTGCTGTGAAGAGCTGCTCAGTGGGTCACTGCTCAACTCTGGGGTAAACTATGGACGTGAGCTTCACCCCCGGGAGCTGTGCAGTGGTGGTGGCCGTGGTGGTGTGCACTGTGCTGGTGCACAGGGAGTGATTCTGGCCCTGAACACAAAGACTAAGGCTGCTCAGTGTTATCCTTGGTCCCATGGAAATGAAGGGGAACCAGGATGATGGAAGAAGAGACAATGTATGCACAGTTCAAAGTGTGGCCAATTTAGCGGTTTGTCATTATTGTGAAGCCCATCATCTGAATTCCTGCAGCTCAAACCATCCAATTGCATGTCATCTCTGGACGGACCAGGTTCAGCCACTAGTGTCCTCAATAGACAAAAATGACTCAATTTACTGAAGTAATTAAGAAACCTCAGTAGGGTATTTTCAACAATGGTGAGAAAAACAAGTTTACGCTTCTTAGAATCTTACTATATTAACTGTCAAAATTACAGCTTGCTTTTTACTTTTTCCCCAAGCAAGCACAGTGCTGTGAATACTCTCGTTCTTTAACTCTCAGGGGAACTCAAGTGCTCCTTAAATCATTTGAAACAGAGAAATCATAGCAACAGTCCCAGTGATTCAGATCCCACATCTAGGACTGTACCAATCTTTGGCTGTGAACTACTAAAACCTGAAGAGTAAGTGAACCAAAAATGTAGTGGCTGTGAGCCACATGTGGGGTTCAGTTCCCTTTAAGAAAGATGCTCTGTTCAGATTCGTGCCTCTGAGACTTTACAAATGCATCAAACAGAAACTGGCTATGACATAAACCTAACATGTAGGTGACTTGGACATCAGCCCCCGAGTGGGGATATGGCCCAGGTTCCACCTTCTAGCTCCCATCCAGCCAACTGTCTACAAGCCAATATGTCTCCGTTAGCAACACACACAATCAAGCCAAACTACTGTACCTCCTCCGGCAAGCTGACCACCAAGTCATTTTTCGTCTGTCCGACCAGCGCCTGCCAGAAGTATTCACTGCATGCAGCCAGCACAGCCCGGTGGGCCCGGAACTCCTTCCTCTCCACGATCAGAGTCACGTCACAGAGAATATCCTTCTTCCGCTGGTCATTGAGGCCCAGGAGGATGTTGGTGCAGTGGACTGTGGACTCATACACATACATGGGGGAGTCAGGCTTCTCATCCACAGACATGCCGTTCAGACCCTGAAAGAAAGAGAGGCCGGGTCACTTCTATCTGAGTCACAGAGAGAAGGTGAGAAAGAACTTCATGGTTCCTGAGTCTCATGGCCATGAGCCAGGCTGAAAGGGGCAATTGCTCATTAGCCTTTTCATGCTCAGCACAATGAGCTCAGAAAACATACCGGAGAGTCGGATTTTATGGCTGACTTTACTGTTTTCATTTTACTGCGTCCTTTTACCCCGTGGAACTGAAGCCAGATCTTTAACGGAACACGCAAAGCATTTAAAATACATACATGCTTTAAAACTTGGTAGTTTTTTTATTTTTGGCTGACTGAAAAGAAACTTTCATGTATACACAGTCCCAATTCAAGTTTTCATTTGAGCTTTGTGTTAAGAGGAAATGAATCACTTTTTGAAGTATTTGTAATGGTCTCTTGATTTAAATACATGTAAGTTGCTAAGTTGAAATTTGGTTAAGATACCAAATGTTTAATCACAATACACAATTTAACAAGGGATCTAAAAGGTCTGTGTACTAAAGAGTAGATGTAGCCAGCTATTGCAATTGCCCTTGGCTACCTTAAGACAAAGTACAATCAACATAATGCCATTGTTGCTCATGAAAAGCTCTTGAAAAGAAGTGGAATGGACCTGTCATTATCCGCGGATTTGATGTACATCTTCTTTAAGGACACACAACATATCACAATAGGAGTTATAACAAAGATGTATTCAACAGTGAAGATCACTTTTACAAAAAAAAAAAAAAGATTCTTTGCTTTAGAAAGTGTCCACTGACATATTTAAAATAATAGTATCTGTAAGTAATTTACATAATGTAGTTTTTTAGTAATGTTTCCTACTAGTATGAATTCCAACGAGTCTTATTTTCTTTGTGACTTTATGCTTATTTACTTTTTTAACAGCTCTAATCTATACTAATAAAAAGGTAATATGCAAATTGGTCACGATGCCCTCACAGTAACAACCGAACAGCAGGCTGAGTGGGCCAACAAAGCCAGCAGGGGTGATAGCGAGAATGACCAAACAACTAGCCAGCAGGCTGTGTGGAGTGACAAGGCTGGCACAGGGATCACTAAGGGTTGACCAGGCCAGCAGGGGTGGCAGTGAGGGGTGACCAGGCCAGCAAGAGGGGCAGTGAGGGGCAACCAGGCTGGCAGGGGGTGAAGTTGGGGGTGACTAGACCAGTGGAGGGGGGCAGTTAGGAGCAACTAGCCTGGCAGGGGGAGCAGTTAGGAGCAACCAGGCCAGCAGGGAGGGCAGGGAGGGGCAGCCAGGTTGGTGGGGGCAGCAATAAGGGGTGACCAGGCCATCGGGGGAGGAGAAGTTAGGGATGACCAAACCAGCAGAAGGGGGCAATGAGGGGTGACCAGGACAAGGGGGGGGGTGCGGGCAGTTGGGGATGACCATACCAATGGGGGAAGGGGCATTTGGGGGTGACCAGGTTGGCAGGGGAGGCACTAAGGGGTGATCAGGCCGGCAGGGGTGGCAGTTAGGGGAGACAAGGTTCACAGAGGGGGGCAATTGGGGGTGACCAGGCTGGCAGGCAGAGGTGATTAAGGGTGATCAGGCTGACAGGGGGGCACTTAGGGGCAATCAGGCAGGCAGGCAGGTGAACAGTTAGGAGCCAACAGTCCGGGATTGTGAGAGGGATGTCCAATTGCCAGTTTCAACCCGATCCCTGGAATCAGGCCAAAACTGGCAGTCAGATATCCCCTGAGGGTCCCAGATTGGAGAGGGTCCAGGCTGGGCTGAGGGGACCCCCACCCCATGCATGAATTTTGTGCACTGGGCCTCAAGTATATAATAAACTGCGTATATTTATAGTGTGTAGTTTTCCCCTTCAATTTTGATTGATAGTCTTGCTGGGTACAGTATTCTTGGATTCAGACCCTTTCTTTGCATGACTTTGTATATTTCATCCCATTCCCTTCTGGCCTGATAAGTTTCTGTTGAGAAATCAGTTGTTAGTCTGATGGGGGTTCCTTTATATGTAACTTTCTGTCTCTCTCTGGCTGCTTTTAAGATTCTAACTTTGTCATTGGTGTTTGCCAATTTAAGTATAATATGTCTTGGCGTCGGTCTACTGGGATCCATTTTGCATGGGACTCTGCGAGCATCTTGGATTTGTGTGGGTTTTTTCTTCTCTATCTCAGGAAAATTTTCTGTCATTATTTCTTGAAATACGTTTTCCATATCTACCTCGGTTTTCTTTCCTTCCGGAACCCCTATTATTCGAATATTGTTTTGTTTTGCATTGTCCCAAAGCTCCCGTAGGCTCTCCTCCTGCTTTTTAATTTTTTTTCTAGAAGCTGCTCTAACTGGGTATTTTTTTCCATCTTGTCTTCTAGCTCACTGATGCGATCCTCTGCTTCTTCTAGTCTGCTCTTGATGCTTTCTATTGAGTTCTTCATAGTAGCGATGTCATTTTTCATTTCATCTTGAATCATCTTCATTTCCTCTTGGGTTTTTTTTCATTTCCTCTTGGGTCTTACTCATATTGTCAAATTTGTCTTCCATTCTTTTTAGCCATCTTAAGATCATTACTCTGAGTTCTTGCTCTGGTAGGTTGCTTGCCTCTATATCGTTTACTTCCTTTTCTGGTGAAGCCTGCTTTTCTTTCATATGCGGGCTGTTTTTTGGTCTCCCCATGATCTAGGATGTCTGGTTGTGTAGTTCTCTCTCTCCTGCTTTGATTTAAAGGCAAAAAATACAACACAACCAGGTACAACACATAAGGCACTGAATAGAAATGTGTTTGCGATATTAATAACCACCAATAGGGTGACTAGAACCCAGCTAACAAAAACATACAATCAAACAAAAAGCATAGGCAAATCAATCTTATAAAAGAAAAGCATACAACTTCAGTAAAGTTAACATTCAACATACAACTTCAAAGAGTTAGAGAGAAAGACTGTTTTGTTTTTTTTTGTTTTTTTTGTTTTTAGGACAACTGTGAGGGAGGTGTGAATGTATAGTGTGCAGTTTAATGTATTTTGGTAGTCAAGACAATGAACACATCCTTCATCAACAACAATCTCTTTATATCCTTAATAGTCCCTCCTTGCATCTCTCTGAAACCATAGGTCTGCTCAGACACTATATATTAGTTGTCATTTTCTATATTTTATATAAATGGAATCATACAGACTATATCCTTTTAATTCTGGATTATTTTATGATGCATAGATATTTTGTGATTCATCCATGTTGTGTGCTCCAACTGTGTGTTCCTTTATTGACGAAAAGTGTTCTATTGTATGGACATAGCACAATTTTTTATCCATTTATCTACTTAAAGGTGGATATTTGGGTGCTCCCAGTTTTTGGCTATTACAGATAAAGCTGCTATAGATTAGTGTATAAGTCTTTATATGACCATATCCTTTCATTCCTCTTGTGTAAATATAATACCTAGGGGTAGAATGGAAAATCATTTGGTATGTGTAAGTCTAACTATAAAGAAAAATACTTTTTATTGATTTTTAGAGAGTGTTGGAGAGAGAGAGAGAGAGAGAGACAGACAGACAGACAGACATTGACTGGGTGTCTCCTGCAAATTCCGCACTGGGGCTTGAAGCCACAACCCTGAACGGGAATCAAATCATAACCTCCTGGTTCATAGGTCAGTGCTAAATCACTGAGCAATATTGGCTGGTGCTTATTAGTTTTCATAACCTTTTGTGCTGGTAGATCACATGGATGTTCTATGTAGATTATGTTGTCTGTAAACGAAGACATTTTATTTCCTTTCCAAACTGGATGATTTCAAGGCATTTTCTTGCCATACTGCATTGGCTAGATGTACTGGTACTGCACTGTACCTCTAATACAGTGTAAACTGTAAATGGTAAGAGCAAATATCCTTGCCTTGTTCCTGATGTCGGGAAATATACTCCATCTTTCATTGTTATTTATGATGGTAGCTTTAAGTATTTCATAGATGTCCCTTCCGAGTTGAGAAAATTTCCTTCTATTCTAATTTGCTGGGAGTTTTTTTTATGTAAAAAATCAGGAATGGATGCTGGATTCTGACAAACTTTTTTTCTGCATCTATAGAGATAATTAGATTTTATTTTTTTTAAAATGTGTATAATAAGGAAAATAACATTGATTTACTTTTTAATGTTAAACCAATCTTGCATTTCTAGGATAACCTCCACTTGATCATAATATATGTGCCTTTTTACACATTGTCAGACTCCATTTCCTAACATTTTGTTATCAGGCAGCACTCAAAACTAGATGGGCCGAAACCAGTTTGGCTCAGTGGATAGAGCGTCGGCCTGTGAACTAAAAGGTTCCGGGTTTGATTCTGGTCAAGGGCATGTACCTTGGTTGCAGGTACATCCCCAGTGTGGGGTGTGCAGGAGGCAGCTAATCGATGATTCTCTCTCATCGATATTCTGACTCTCTATTCCTCTCTCTTCCTCTCTGTAAAAAAAATAAAATAAAATATATTTTAAAAAAACCCAAAAACAACTAGGTGGAACAATTAATGTTCAAGGATATAAATGGTGTGCATAATTCATAAGAAGCAGGAGATTTATGAGACATCTAATTTCTCTAAATTCATTTATTAATGCACCTATACCAAAAAGAGGGAAGCTTATTATAACAGACACAAAGCTGTAAGTTTTTCAGTGAAACAAGAAATTAAATAAAATCAAAAGAGAAATGAAAGTGAGGTGCCATGGAACGAGGAGTGGACAGGGGTGCAGGGCTTTGAACCCAGCTCTGGCACTCTGTGGATTCTCATGACTCACTTTTCTCTGGGTCTGCTTCCATGTTTGTAAAATAAAAAGTCTTGACTAGAAGACCAGCAAATTTCATACCAATCTACAATTCTATGAGTCTAAGAATCTATAAAAGAAATACCTAACTGATCATTAGAGTGAGATACTGTCATTTTAGTTGAGACAAGTTAGCTTTCTGTAACTTTATAGAGGCCAACTATGGAGCCTCTTTCATTGTGGATATCGCAGAGCTGGGTGCAG